CCCCCGCCACCGCCCTGGCCGGGCAGGATGGGCCACAAGAGTGCTTGCTGCGTTGGATGTGGAGGTGAAGGAGTGAGGGAGGGAGCAAGGGAGGGTGCGAGGGTCTGTCCCGAACGCCCAGCCCCTGCCCTGTGGTTCTGCCAGAGCCCTCCCAGGGCCAAGGGGCCTGGCAAGACAGATGGGAGTCGGGTGGGCAGCTCATGGAGGTGTTAGCATCTCTGGGAGGCTTGAGTGCCCATCCTGAGAGGAGGGAGAGCCAGCTGGATGCCCCAGGTGTTCCCAGAGAGATTCCTGTCTACAGGCATGACTTTCCCATTCGGGAGAGGTACATGTGTGTTTACAGGTATGTCCGTGTTCAGGACTGTCCTGATTCTCCCAGCCTCTGTCACATGGCCCAGGGAGAGCTGACCACACACTAGCCAGCGGGCTCCCTTCCTGCAGGAGGACCTGTTGGTGGCTGGGTCCTTTCCCCACAGGCAGAGGCAGGGATGGGCTGGCAGGTCTGAGGAGGCCTGCCGAGTGGCTTTGCTGCTTCTGAGGACATGTTGTAATTAGCACATTAATTGTGTCCCGCTAGTGAGGGCTGTCAGGTGTTCCCTGGTGAATCAGGCGGTCCTGCGGTCTTGTCTGGTGTATTAATGTCCTCCCCAGGCCCCTGCAGTGAAGGGCTCAGTGCAAGCAGGGGCGGGGTGGGGGGGTCCCAGGCCCCGAGCACCCCCTCCCCAGTCACTTTCCACCCTGGAGCAGCTGCCATCCTGAATCCCCACCTTTCTTCCCTGTCCGGCCACCCGTGTGCCCGGTGCCGTGCCTGTTGGCCTCCATGTGAATGAAGTGCGGTTTGGGTCCTCCTCCGTGAGCGGCTTTTTCCACTCGGCCTCACGTTGGGAGGTTGGGGTGACGTGCACACGTTGATGGGTGTATTCTGTTATGTGATTTATTTCTGCCTTCTCCGCTCAGTGGAAATGTGTTTTTTTTTAGTTTTTTACTGTGACAATCTCCATCAGCTTTTAAAATCCTCCTGGCACCTCTGTTTGAAAGATAAAATTTCTGGCTGATAAGTCGCTCGGTCCTTGGGGGGGGGGGCGGCATCTGGAACTGAGGTCCTGTGCCTCTTGGGGATGGGAGGAGGGACACAGGGCTGGAGGGGGGAAGGGACCAGCAACAGTCTTACCCGGGGTGACTTCTCTCTGAGGCTTTGACTCTCCTTCCTCATGACGTTGCACTAAACACCAGGGCCTGTCAAAATTCAGGCCTGTGTTTTGTAGGTTTGTGCGTAGGGGTAGGGGTCAGGTCGAGCATCCTTTGCCCAGACATCCAGCCAGAGGCCGGCCCAGGCCCAAGCTGACCCGCAACGCTGGTTGGATGCCCCCAGCGGGCCGACAGCCCTGCTCTGCCAGCCCCTCAGCCGCTTCTGAAGAGCAAATTAGGCCTCAGCAGAAAGCTCTGCAGAGTCTGGAATTAGGACACATTAGTGAAGGACTGAATTGGTGCTGTCCGTTCTGTTGCTGATAGATGGCATTTTCTCTTCCTGAATCACCTGGGGAAACTTTTGGCCCCGAGTGAGCACCGCTCTCGTATCCCGTGGGCCTCTCACTCCAGGCACTGGGCAGCCTCTTCCAGCCCAATGTTGCCAGCCAGGGGTCGGGATGGGGGTGGGGGGCACAATGTTACGTGTCCCCTGGGCAGGCAGCGGTCACCTGGGTGGGCACTGAGGGAGGTGGTGGCCAGGTCCTCCTGGCCGTGAGTCTCGTGGTTGGCAGTCTGTCCAGCATGCAGTCGAGGGGCACAGGGTATCACTGGCTGCAGGGCCACAAGGTGATGCCGTGTCCCTTTTTGTCCCCAGATCACCAGAAGCTGGAGAGAGAGGCTCGAATCTGCCGTCTTCTGAAGCATTCCAACATCGGTGAGTAGCCCTCGGGGTAGGGGTCCCAGCTCCCCAGTACAGCCAGCAGGGGGACCCCAAAGGCGTCCGTCCCTTTCCTTCTCCATTGAAATATCCCACCCTCAGGCCCCTGGAAACATCTCCTCCTCCTGACCCGGAGGGATTCCTGCAGGGACTTTGGGGCAACCCTCTGGGGGAGGTCAAGGCCGGACTCCTCCTGAACGGGTCCCTGCCCACCACTCTGTAAGTCTGATCCAGGATTCTGGTGAAAACACACAGAGGTCTCACGTTCCGTGGCTTCAGAAAAGCCACAAGACGGCCTGATTACAGAGAAAAAAGTTTGGAAACTGAAGACCACACCAGGCACAGCCGCGGCCTGAGGTCTGAGGCCTGAGGCCTGAGGTCTGAGGCCTGAGGCCTGAGGTCTGAGGTCTGATTCTGGAGAACCCCTGCTGTCCCCCGAGCCCGGGGCCCCTGGAACTGCCATCTGGGGTGGGGATCAGCTGCCCACTGGGGGCACGTGGAGCCCCAGGAGCCCGGGTCTTGGCCTCAGGGAGTGTGGGTGCCCTGCCCGCGGTAGGTCCCTTCCTTCTGAAACCCCAGACTGAGTAGGGATTCAGTCCAGACACAAGCGTAGGAGCTGCTGGGACCCCAGACCCCGGAAGCTGGTGCAGATCTCCCGGGGCCTGTCAGCCTCCGCCTGCCCGCCTCAGCCGTGAGCGGCCCCTGTCTGCGCAGCACAGCTGCCTGTCCTTCTGCACCTCTGGTCCCTTTAGGGACTCCTGAGGAACCCAGGACCCAGCCCTTGACCACACCGGGAAGCAGCCGGGTGGCACGGGGGGACGGCGGGCCCACGTTCTCAGAGGCACCCAGGGAGCTCATCAGGGAGGAGTCCTGGGTCCTCTTGCCCGCGTTCTGACTCAGTTGTGCCGGGATGGCGCCCAGGACTCTGTCTAAAAGGGACGCCAGGCTGTGCTCAGCAGCCACGTCCGTGCCACTCCCAGGGCAGGGCCTCGGCCGCGGGGCCAGGAGGGCCGCAGTGTGGCTCGGGGTCCTCGGAGCTGGTTGTGGGAACTGCTGCCTCCCTGGCTGTGGCCCCTCCAGGCCGCTGGCTCTTCTGCAGCTGGCCCAGCCTGGGCGCGAGGTGCAGGGCAGGGCAGATCTCCAGTTTCTTGGCGGGCCCCTTGGTGTCGGCCCCAGTGCCTGGGCCCATACTCTTTCTAACCACGGACTCTCAAGGCTGAGACTGTTGGAATCACGGTGCGCAGATTCCTGACCTGCCCCCGGGAAAGCCTGGCTCGGAGGCCTAGAGCGGGCCCAGGATTCGGAATCTGAGCCAGCCTGATGGGTGATTCTGAGGTGGGTGTCCACAGGGACTCCAGCCCCCTCTTCACTGGGCTGGGGCACGTTTGGCAAAAGGGCTGTTGCCCCTCTGCCCGTCCAGGTCCAGGCGCCCGAGGACCCTCTCTCTCGGTGCTCCTGGCTGATGCCACCGCACCGCCAGCTCTCCCCACACCCCTTCCCATGCCAGCTCCCTCCCCTGTGTCCGCTGAGTGCCCATCAAGTGTGGGTCCCCCATTCTGAGTGATTTCCAGGAATCCTCTTACTAGAGAGAAGACCCAGGCGTTCTTGGGTTAGTGTTCGGGGCCAATTCTTCAACAAGAAGCCCCCCTGCCCTGCCTGCTGTGGCTCTGGGCGCGTTCTGAGTGGTCCCTGGAGTCCGCGTAGCGGGGTTATTCTAGAACGCAGGGGAGGCAGAGCTGAGACTGTGGGGTCCCGCTGGACATTCTCTGTAGACTCAGGAGGGGCTCTCTGAGGAGTGAGTAGTGGGGGAGACTTTTGGGGGAGATGAGGGGAGCCCCTTGCTCTGTGGCCTGTGTCTACCCAGCCCCATCTCTGAACAGAAGTGTTCCCAGTCCCTCACCCCCGGGAGAGGAAGCAGGACCATGTTCAGATAGAGACGGGGTAGGGGCTCCCCTTCCTGTCCTGGCTCACTCAGTAAGCAGTTGTGCTCAGGGCGTGGGCAGGGGAGGAGCCTCAGTTTGCCCGTCTGGAAAGTGGAGATGCTGCTACCTTCCTCACAGGGACCCCCCCCCCCCCC